AAGGATTTTACGATATAGACGCTGCCTGCGTACAAAGAACTAGTACATAATAGCTGTACGTTTTTTTTTTCCAGTTCAAATTCTCGGGGATGCAGGACAGAAAGAACGTGATTATTTAAGTCAAACTATCGAAAACGTTTATCTTTTTATTGTGTTCTAAAAATGAGTGCCATCAATTTCGAGCAGCGGTGTTCTATCAAGTTTTACTTCAGACTTGGACACACTGCAACGAAAACTCTTGCTTAACTTCAGCAGACCTACGTAGATCGTATTTTGTCAAGAGTCCAGGTTTTTCGGTGGTTTAAGGCATTTTCAGAAAGGATTTAGCTCGTTGGTTGACAGTCAGAATTAACGGGGAAGAGTTAAAAATTTGACTCAAACCACAATTGTTGTGGCTCCTCAGCCTCCTTATTGAGTCCTTGTGACTTTTTTCTCTTCCCGAAGTTGCAAACTCACCTCAACGGAACTCATTTTGAGACTGTCGCAAACGTTCAAACGGCTGTAACCGATAAAAAAAATTTTTAAAAATCAGTCTCGTGACTGAATTTTCAGTCCTTGTATATCAACAAAATTCACATGTCTCAAAATGAGGTGAACACAGAATGATTGAAAAACTATAAAATTATATAATTTTCACAGTGTTAGTTTGTAAGATTTTAACCAAGCGGCTGCTAAATTACGGCAATTAGGTGTCAAATTTGAGGAAGCAAACGTAATTGCGCGTTAACAATTGTACAATCAAAAGGGAAACGTCCAGTAGTCCATGTTCTTTCTGTCGATATCAATTTAGCTCCAAACAAAGAAACCTTTAGCACACCCTTTTCAGGTAGCTTTTTATTACATTTTTATATGTACAATATCAAAACGAAATTGCCAAAAAGATAAACATCACCATGATGGAAGACTTCCATCTTCACGGATCCCATCACCTTATTTACACATCACTTTTTATCGAATCCGATAGAAAGGTCCGGATACTACGCTAGAAATTCCGGGCGTTCGGAGTTCCTCACCTTCCGAACTGCACATAATCTGACGGAGATGAGCTTATCTCGGATTACCCTTTCTGAAGCAAAAAGGATTGCCGACGTCCTGCCTACTCGTATATTTTAGAGTGCGATAAGATTATCGACTTTTTACGGAGAAGTAGGTACATCGCAGAATACATAACACTGAATAAGTGGCAGCTCCACGTTAAACGACGGCAACACCGCTGACGTTTGTCAGTTGGTGGCGCCACTTGGTTGCCTGAAGATCCGGAGGAACTCTTGATGGAACGCCTAGAATGTGCCGGGAATAAGGAATGCCAGGAATGAGCCGGGGATCTCGTATGCTAGTAATTTGGAATTTGCTGAAAATTATATTTTCGATATCGGAGGATTATCGTGAACGTAGATTCATAAAACATTTCAAGTCAAGGTAATCTCTCGATCTTGGTGGTTAAAAGTTTATAAAATAATAATGCTATTACTCAAAACAAATAATCACGAATTTTTTTGACAGAAAATTGTATTCCATGGAAAAATAGATTTTTATCCCTAATCAATGTTAGTGCACAGTTATTTGGCAAAACGCACGTGTCTTGCATTTAGGTAATCTGCAGGGCCGGCTACAGGTAGGAATAAAGTGAGGCGCAAGGCGTCATGGGGGAGGGGGCGCCAAATGTTTAATCACAAAACTCAGGAGCTGATGATAATCTGCAATAATACAGAAAACACGCATGTAATTTCCGCAATTTTTGTGAATAAGCTGCTAGCTTTGATGAATGGTTGGCTCAGAAATGTCGTAAGTTTGCCAAGACGGGAAGAGTTTTGCTTTGTTAAATTCTTTATAAAACTTAGGATCCACATTACGTTGATATGTTAAGGTCAGTGCCTGCCTGTGGAACTTTATGGCAGTCTCCTTAACTTCCAGATGTCCCTCAAAAGTCACAATACATTTCACTTATGGTAGTGCAGTTATTGATAGTGGCTCTGTATATTCCACGTTCATTATTGACCAAGTATCTCCGCTGTGAATCAGAACAAATCAAAGCAGACGACATATTTTCACTTGAAACGATGATGGTAACGCAGTTTCCTAGAGAGGATGAGGTACATATTACAGGCCTAAGATATTGATTAGATATTGATTTACTTCATTATATAAAAACAACAATATCAAATAAATGTTTCAATTCGCACAAGGATAATGCCCGTACATTGTTCAGTTGTATGTTGTGATATTCCAAAGACAAAACAAAAAAGTTAATAAAAAAATGCATATCAAACAGGTTTATATGTAGACGATAATTTTCAATGAATATTTGATAGTAGTTCAATAATATGTTGCACTGCATCGTGCGTAACCAATTTCATAATTTCTTATCTGTATTTAGAAATTGTTTCAAGTCTTTGGGTACGTGTTTATATAATTTTGGAGCCAAGTAGAGAAAAGATCGCTTCATTATGGTCTTATGAGGCTAAGGGACAGTTTTTGCGTGTAATTTATATTGAGTAACATGGCAATGTCTGGTTTTATCGTGCTTACTGACTACTTTGTGGTAATGGGTGCTGGCATTATGTAACAAATAAAATTGCTTGATATCAGATAATTCTGTTTCATTATATAAATCATTAGTTGAATATAATTTTGGTTTACGGTACACGGTTTTTAAAACAGTTCTCAGTAAAACTTCTATGCCTTCTAATACGATGGCCATGCTGTACCCCAGGCTAATATACCATATATGTGCGGCTCACTTAAGGCATTTAATTTTCTATCATATGCTTGTGATGAATTTGTATGTGACAAGTCTTACTTTCCTCAAAATGCCTGAATGTCCCACCTGAAATGTTGGTCTATAAACGTTCCTAAATATTTGGTTTTATCCACTCTGTCAATTTTTAAATCTGTATTGTTTATTTTGGAGGAAAGGATAATCAGGTGGATGTCTTGCAGATGATGTGAAGGGTAGAAACTGCGTTATTCCATAGTTCACAATTAATTCTCTATTGCTGAAAAAATTAATTATTTTACAAAAGTCTTTCTCAATTATTCTCTTCAATCATACCACTCTTGCCCTTGTCTATATAGTATTGCCGTATCATTAGCAAACCTGACAATTTTACCCACGCAGCTAATTTTGACTACATCATTCAAATAGATATTAAATAAAAGAGGACCTAACACTGTACCCTGAGGCACACCACATCTGACAGACATTTCCTCACTGTATGATCGAGAAAGTTTCACTACTTGGGGTCTTTTCGATGAATAACTTTGCATTAAAGAATATATTTTCCCACGAAAACCTATTTTGTCCAAAATGTTGATTAGCTAAGCTGTGATTGACTGTATTAAATGCCTTTTTTAGATCAACAAATAATAATAATAATAATAATAATATTTATTCACTCAATGTACAGAGATAACAAACAATATGAGTAAATAAATATAAAATCAAAACAGGCCCAATAGAAGGCATCGCCTGTACATGGACCAATAAATTTAAGTTGAAACTGTAGAATGCAAATGACAAGAAAGGACAAAAATTAGCTACAGTAGATTATGTATTTAGTTGATGTTCGTATTTATGAGTTTATGAATTTCAGTCCTAGATATAGAATGTAGCCACTTTTTTAAATTTCTTTTGAAACAATTTCCGAAACGTAAATCTTTTAAGTCTTTAGGTATAATTTCATAAAATTTAGGCGCTAAATAGAGATATGATCGCTGCATTATAGATTTATGCGGTTCAGGAACTACTGTGCCACGAATTTTGTACCTGGTATAATGATTATGTTTAATTTTTTGGTCGGTGTTTACAAATTTATGGTAGTGAGTGATACTGTGTAAGAAATAAAGCTGTCTTATATCATACATTCGAACATCTGCGTATAATTTTTCAGTGGGATAAAGTTTCGGTTTTTTAAATATCATTTTTAGAATACTTTTTTGAAAAACATCTAAATTATAGATATGTGAGGAACATGCAGCTCCCCATGATAATATACCTATGTAAGATGAGGCTCAATCAGTGCATGGTATAATGTTCGAAGATATGTTTGTCAATATATTCCCAAGGTATTTAATTTTGTAGGATGCAAATCTAACTTTCTTTAAAATATAATTGACATGGATGTCCCATCGTAAGTGAGGATCCAAGACCACTCCAAGGTATTTTATGTTAGGCACCCTATTAATTTGCATTTTTTGATCATTAATATTGAAGGAGAAATTTGTGTAATTTGGCAGATGTCTAGCATAAGATCCAAATGGTAAAAGATGTGTTTTAGAGTAGTTAATGCTTAATTTTCTACTGTTAAACCACCGAATAATTTTGATAAAATCATTTTCAATTACATTTTTCAGATCAGACCAGTCAGTGCCTTCATATAATATTGCAGTATCATCTGCAAAACTAGTTATTTTGCCAACACAATTAATTTGGAAAATATCATTTAAATATATTTTGAATAACAGCGGACCTAAGACAGTTCCTTGTGGGACACCACACTTAATATACATTTCTTTACTAAATGATCCTGATATCTGCACAGATAGTGGGCGATTTGACAAATAACTTTCGATCAGTGAGTACGCGTTTCCTCTGAAACCAATTCTCTCCAATGCTTCTAATAATAATTTGTGATTAACTGTGTCGAAAGCTTTCTTTAAATCAACAAAAATGCAGGGAGTCCGATCCTGTATTTGCAGCGTCTGACAACAAATTAATCGCTCTTATAAAAATCAAGGTTTTAGTAGTGTTCTACTGGTTATAAAAATACAGTCAGTGCGCCAAGAAGAACGTAACAACTGATTGGCACCGTGAGTACCCTTTGGGCCACTTTCTGATAATAGTTCTGCGTTAAAACCCAATAACATCATAAACATACTGGTAAATTAATCAAACTCCTGGCCGCATACCTTTCCATTTGCGGACAGGACCGTATCTAGAAGAATGTCATATCGTCTTCACCCAGAGCTAACTAGAAACATTTAATATGATTACTCAAACTATGACAAGTAACCCTACCACATCACAAAACCCTACGCCCAAGTCATACTCAAAAGTTGTCTCCCAACACAGCGAAAAACATCCTAACAAAGAACAAGCAATAGTTTTCAGCACTATAGAGGGAGCTAAACTACAAGACTATCTTCTGAAATTAGGTCCACTGGTAGAGCCCAAAAACATTATATTTTGCTCAAGGATCTCGAACAACAGAATATGTGTTTACCTCTCAAGTAAAAGTTTGGTTGACCAGTTCATACAACAGCATGGAGAATTAACCGTAAATGGAGAAATAATAAAAGTTCGTCGCCTAGTTACCCCCTCTGATAGACTGGTAATATCGAACGTTTGTCCGACCATCCCGCATGCAGTTCTAAACGACGCGCTGCAAAAATTGCATTTAAAGCTTTTATCTCCAATTTCATTCCTCAGAATTGGAGCCACTCTAGCGGAGTACAGTCACATTTTGAGTTTTAGGAGGCAAGTTTACATAGCACCTTCAGAGAATACGGATATCCCAGAATCCATAGAGATAACGCACAACGATCTGACCTATCGTATATTTCTTACTTTAGACAGTCAAAAGTGCTACAAATGTAAACTTATTGGACATATTGCTTCACAGTGTCCATCGATTAAGATTTCGCAGACTTCCACAGAATCAGAGACCCTCAACGATGAACTGTCAAACCCATCCGAAAATCAAGTAGTATCAGATATAACTACAGAAGATTCCACCACAGCCCACATACATCTGCCCAAAGAAAATACCAAAGCAATTACGAACAAAAACAGCCACCAACATCCTCAAAACACTAACACAAACATCATTAGCCTACACGGCGAAGGAACACCGAATAATGACGAATTAATAACTCCAAGCGTATCCTCCAAAAGGAGCTTCTCAGAAATACTAACACCAACGGAAGACACAGGTGCACCTCAAAGCTATCAAGTAACATTCACCAAACCGACTGCAGATAACATCAAGAAACACAAACCTGATCAGGAATTAACAATACCCATAAAAAGCAGCCTTGAACCTATCAAAAATTTGATAGAGACTCAGCAGACGGTACTGAACATCGATCAGCTCACCAGTCTGTTGGAAAATGTACATGGAGCTAAGGATGCCATTACTGTAGTAAACAACTATACCTCAGATTTCAGAGCTCTTATAGAAATGCTTCTCCTAATTTACCCCCATTTGACAAACCGCACAATAAAGAACAGATGCACAAGATTAAGGAAAAAATTGGAACACCACATCGATCAAACGGTAGGATCACTAAGCGACACGTCATCCATAGATTCGACGTTTTAATAACAATAAAATTCACGTCAATTCTACAATGGAATTTAAATGGATATCGTATCCATTTGACCATGCTTCGAAAGTTATTAACTGATCACAAACCAGATATCATTTGCCTACAGGAAACTCACTTTAGTGACAGTAAAACACACACGCCTAAGCAGTATATAGGTTATTTCAAAAATAGGAATACGGGAACAGCAAGTGGGGGAGTGGCTATATATACCAAGTCGTATATGCAATCTAGTCAAATCAATCTCGTTACTAATTTAGAAGCTGTAGCAGTTACCATAGAAGATGGAGAGAAGGTCAATATCTGCAATGTATATATCCCACCTAACTACTTTTTGGATAAGAAAGAACTGGAAGACTTGATACAACAAGTTCCCGCTCCTCGCATAATTGTTGGAGACTTTAACGCACATGATTATACGTGGGGATCCTTCAAACATGACCAACGAGGAAACATAGTAAGAGGCATCCTGGACTCAAGCCACCTAGCCTTGCTGAACGACGGTAACTGTACTAGATTCGACGCCGCATCAGGAAGACTCTCCGCAATCGATTTGAGCCTATGCACCCCCGGCCTGCTAACTCACCTAAATTGGAGTACAGAAGATGACTTATATGGAAGCGATCATTTCCCAATACTTATATCAAACAATAAAAACAACAAAAACACTGAATCAACGCCTCCTCAAAAGTGGAGATTAAAACAAGCTAATTGGCATTCATTCTCACACTATATAGATAGTAACCTTGACCGCAATATAAAATCTAATGTCAGCATAGACTCTATAGTGGAACAGCTCAACAAGACTATAACTGATGCCGCACAACATATCCTAGGTAAAACCACCCACGTAAAAAATAGAAATCCTGTGCCTTGGTGGAACAACGAATGCGAATCTGCACTCAAAGAGAGTAAACAAGCGGTCAATAAGCACAAAAGACAAAAAAATCTCAATACATTAAGGAACCTTCGGAACAAACAGGCCAAATTAAGACTAATAACTAGAAAAAACCAAAAACAATCGTGGCAGAATTACGTCAGTAGCATTAGTTGTAACACACCAATGCCCAAAGTATGGAAAAAGGTGAGAAGCATTTCTGGAACTAAGACTTACTCACCAATAAGATGTCTAAAAGACGGTGAAAACACTGTCACTGAAAGTCATCAAATATCAGAAATATTATCCAAGAAATATTACTCCAACTACAGCAATGGAAACTACTGTTCAGACTTTACGAACTACAAACTAAATGCAGAATCAGTGATAATCCCCATAGAAGACAACAGCGATCCAATCAACCTACCCATCACAGAATTAGAGTTCTTGGATGCACTCAACGACCTGAAAGATACTGCTGCAGGACCAGATGACATTCCGCCTATTTTCCTAAAGAAACTTCCCCCGTCTGCTCATAACCGCTTATTACACATATTCAACACCATCTGGACAACGAACGTTTTCCCCAAAATATGGGGACAAGCAATAACAGTTCCTATCCTGAAGTCTAATAAATCACCCCAGCTACCAGAATCGTACAGGCCTATATCACTAACCTGCTGTATGTGCAAGCTTCTTGAGAAAATAATTAACCGCAGGCTTATGTGGAGTCTCGAACATAAAAACCTATTAGCCTACCAACAAGCTGGTTTCAGATCAAATAGATCTACTATAGATAATATAATAGACTTAGAAACCCACATCCATGAAGCATTCTCGGACAATCAACATTGTATGGCAATTTACTTTGATATCAACAAAGCGTTTGATACAGCCTGGAAATACAACATCATTTCTAAACTCCACAAATGGGGATACAATGGAAACATTCTATCCTTCATTTCCAACTTCCTCGACAACAGATGTTTCCAAGTACGAACAAATGGTGTACTGTCGGAACAAAAACAACAGATCAACGGAATACCTCAAGGCTCTATTATTAGTCCAACTCTATTTCTTATAGCACTTAACGACGTTCTAAGAGATATCGAACTACCTCTTCAGGCCCGTCTATACGCGGACGATATGATCGTATTTGTGAGGGGAAAGAACTTGACAACAAATGCATCGTTATTACAACATTACCTGAATAAGCTGGAATACTGGTCTAAGCAGACAGGATTTACCTTTTCAACAGAGAAAACAACTTGCATCATTTTTTCGAAGAAGCCTGTGCGTGACAAGCCCACTTTAAAGTTGTGCAATAAGATTCTAAAGTACACCAGCGACATCAAATTCTTGGGAATCACATTTGATAATCGACTTAATTGGAAGAAACATATAACAGATGTCATTCAGTCTTGTCAAGCAGGGATCAACATGCTAAAGTACCTATCAAATAGACACTGGGGGGCTGAAAGTAAGACACTGCTTACTATATATAGAGCACTTGTAAGATCCAAGATTGACTATGGCTGCATCGCGTACAACTCAGCAAGACCTTCAGTTCTCAAACCTTTAAACGTGCTTCACAACACTGCGCTGCGATTAATATTAGGAGCATACAGAACCACACCGGTAGACAGTCTGTACTGTGAATCGGGAGAAGCACCATTACACATAAGACGTCAGATAATGAGCCTCACATATTTTAATAAGAAAATCGCAAATATCAATACATCAGCCCATAAATATTTAGCCACTACAAGGTCCTATAGGAATAGCATAACAGGTACTCCTTTTCACAACAGAATCAGAGTCTACTTAAGAAGTCTCGACATCCAGAACGTACCGTCAACACTTACTACTGTCACCGATACCATCCCGCCTTGGATTATTTGTCAACCAGTTACCAATACAACACTCATCAAGTTCAACAAAACCGAAACACCCAATGAAGTTATATACCAGAATTTCTGTAATATCATAAGCGACTATCCAGGGTCAAAACAATTATACACTGATGCTTCAAAAACAAAGCAAAGCGTAGGAGCAGCAGTCATCACTCCCACATCCACAATCAAACTGAAGCTCCCAGCAGCAGCATCCATATTGACGGGTGAGCTTTACGCAATCAGAGAAGCTGTCCAGTTTATCAAAAACAGTCCTTATCAGAGGTGGGTAATAATTACAGACTCCTTAAATTCAATCGAGTCCATAAACAAACTGAATCCCAAAAATCCACTGGTCAACCTAATCAAGGAGGAAATACACCGGAACTTACTTCTAAACAAGGAGATAACTCTATTATGGGTTCCCTCACATAAATCCATATTGGGCAACGAAATGGCGGACAGGGGCGCAAGATCAGCGGCGGACGCCAAAATGCAGACAATACAAAAGATTCCTGTTTCCGATATCAAGACATACTTCCACAACATGGCAATAGAACAGTTTAACAATAAATGGAGAAGCGGATCAGCGAAGCTTCTTGAAGTGAAATCTCGTCTTGGTTCCTGGCAGATCAACACTACAAATAGAAGGCACCAGGTTCTGCTGAGCCGTCTTCGTCTGGGACACACCAGGGCCACACATGGTTACCTCATATCGGGAGATCCCGTACCTCTTTGTACAATTTGTGAAGTGTCCCTCACCGTTAAGCACATTTTAGTGGAGTGTCCCATGCTAGAATACCAAAGAGTGTCCTCCAACTTAGGATCTAGCTTAATAGACATTATAGGCTCAGAATGTAACATAAACAATCTACTCTTATTTTTACAAACCACCAACTATGCTCATAAAATTTAGTGTAACACTGTGTACTGCTCCGCCGCTAATGACCATCAGGCCGATGCGGCAATTGTATTTTTTATTATTGAATAAAAAAAAAAAAAAAAAAAAAACAAAAATGCAGATTGAAGGGATTCTGTTATCAATATTTTGATGTATTTGATTTACAATTTTAGTTATTGCGTCCGATGTAGCCTTCCCTACTGTAAATCCATATTGATTTTCACTTAAAATTTTGAATTTTGTGAGGTATCGAATCATTCTAGTAGATAAAACTTTTTCAAAAACCTTTGCTACACTGGATATTATTGATATTGGTCTATAGTTGTTAACATCTGTTTTTGTTCCTGATTTATGTATCGGTATTATATTACCTTTTTTTAAAATTGAGGGATATATTCCAGATTCAAAGCATTTGTTGATTAGGTAAGTGAGTGGCTCTGTTATGTCCTCGGCTATAATTTTCAAATGCTCGCTTTTAATACCATCGAACCCAGGACTTTTCCGATTTTTTAAGGACATAACAGTGGTGTATACTTCACATTATTCGACTTTATCCAAAATAAATGAGTTCAAAGTTCTTTTTGGAGGCTGAGTATTTTGTACATTTGCTTCTATATTACTTGCTAAATTTTTGCCTATGTCAGTAAAGAATTGTACAAATTCATCGCATATCTGTTGAGCATTTTTTAATACTGTTCCCGATGTTGTATTTAACTCAGTGACACACTCTTTAACTTTTGTTTTCCCAGTAATCTCATCAATAGTTGTCCAAAGCCGCTTAGGATCATTTAAGTTATTATTCAATTTATTTAGGTAATGTTTTCGTTTGGTTTGCCTTACAAGCTCTATAAATTTATTTTTATATTGGTTGTAGCAGTCGGTATTCTATGTAGTTGGCGTTAGTTTCATTACATTATATAGTCTTTCTTTTTCTATTGCCGATGTTATTAATCCTTT